ACTTCTTTATGTGTGCATTTAGTGCTATAAATTTTCCTCTTAGCACTGCTTTCACAGTGTCCCCTAAGTTTGGGTATGTTGTACTTTCATTTTCATTGAATTCTAGGAAATCTTTAATTTCTTTATTTCTTCCTTGACCCATTGTTGTTTCAGGTGAGCATTATTCAGTAGGCTTTCTATAATTTTTGTTGTTGTTGAAATCTAACTTTAAGGCATGGTGGTCCGATAAGATACAGGAGGTTATTCCAATGTTTTTGTATCTGTTGAGATTTGCTTTGTGACCAAGCATGTGGTCGATTTTGGAGAAGGTTCCATGGGGTGGTGAGAAGAAGGTATATTCTTTTGTGTTAGAATGTAATGTTCTGTAGATATCAATTAAGTCCATTTGAGTCATAACATCAGTTAGGTCCTTTATTTCTCGTTAAGTTTCTGTCTGGCACATCTGTCCATTGGTGAGAGTGGGGTGTTGAAATCTCCCACTACTAATGTGTGGGGTTTGATGTGTGATTTAAGCTTTAGTAATGTTTCTTTTATGAATGTGGGTGCCTTTGTATTTGGGGCATAAATGTTCAGAATCGAGACTTCATCTTGGTGCATTTTTCCTGTGATAAATATGTAATGTCCATCCTGATCTCTTTCAGTTGATTTTAGTTTGAAGTCTATTTTATTAGATATTAGGATAGCTACACCAGCTTGCTTCTTAGGTCCATTTGCTTGGAAAGCCTTTTCCCAGCCCTTTACTCTGAGGTAGTGTCTGTCTTTGAAGTTAAGGTGTGTTTCTTGTATGCAGCAGAAGGATGGATCCTGTTTTCTTATCCATTCTGTTAGTCTGTGTCTTTTTATAGGTGAGTTGAGACCATTGATATTGGTGGATATTAATGACCAGTGATTGTTAACCCCTGTTATTTTTTTTTGTGGTAGTGTTGTGTTTTCCTTCTTTGGTATTTGTTGGTGTGGGATTATCTATTGCCTGATTTTTCATGGGTGTGTTTAGCTTCTTTAGGTTGGATTTTTCCTTCTAGTGCTTTCTGTAGGGCTGGATTTGTGGATAGGTATTGTTTAAATCTGGTTTTATCATGGAATATTTTGTTTACTCCATCTATGGTGATTAAGGGTTTTGCTGGGTATAATAGTCTGGGTTGGCATCCATGGTCTCTTAGTGTCTGCATAACATCTGTCCAGGACCTTCCAGCTTTCATAGTCTCTATTGAGAAGTCTGGTGTTATTCTGATGGATCTGCCTTTATATGTTACTTGGTCTTTTTCCTTTGCAGCTCTTAATATTTTTTCTTTGTTCTGTATGTTTAGTGTTTTGATTATTATGTGGTGAGGGGACTTTTTTTTTGGATCCAGTCTATTCGGTGTTCTGTAAGCTTCTTATATCTTCATAGGTATTTCTTTCTTTAGGTTAGGAAAGTTTTCTTCTATGATTTTGTTGAATATATTTTCTGTGCCTTTGAGATGGTACTCTTTTCCTTCTTCTATCCCTGTTATTCTTAAGTTTGGTCTTTTCATGGTGTCCCAAATTTCTTGGACATTTTGTGTTACGACTTTTTTGTCTTTAGTGTTTTCTTTGACTGACGAATCTATTTTCTCTTCTGTGTCTTCAGTGTCAGAGATTCTCTGTTCCATCTCTTGCATTCGGTTGGTTATGCTTGCTTCTGTAGTTCCTGTTCGTTTAGTCAGGATTTCTATTTCCAGCATTCCCTCAGTTTGTGTTTTCTTTATTGTCTCAATTTCAATTTTCAAATCTTGAATTGTTTACTTCATCTGTTTAATTACTTTGTCTTGGCTTTCTTTGATTTCTTCCAATTTTTTGTTTGTTTTTTCTTCCATTTCTTTAAGGAAATTTTTTATTTCCTCTCTAAGGGAATTTTTCATTTCCTCTTTAAGGGAATTTTTAATTTCTTCTTTAAGTGCCTCTATCATCTTCCTAAAGTCATTTTTAGGATTGATTTCTTCTGTTTCTTCTGCCTTGGTATGTTCAGGTCTTGCAGGTGTAGAATCGCTAGGTTCTGATGTTGTCATATAGGTCAACGTGGACACCGGGCTGGGGATGAGGCTCCATGGTAGAGCACTGGCAAAGCATGCTGGAGAGTCTGGCTTCAGTTGCCAGCAACACAAGCACACACAGATCAGGCGTCTAAAATAAGAGCTAACCTATAGAACTCAGCTGTGCTGGGTTTTTGAGACATCTTAGCTCAGGCTCTCCTGACCCTGACAGTGACCTGTTTGCCACCTGAGTGCCAGAATTACAGGAGTGAGCCACCACACCTAGCTAACTTATAAAACACTTTGAAGAAAATGTTAACTTGGAATTAAGCAATGATTTATTAGAAATGAAACTTAGCTGGGCCTTGGTGGCATACATCTTTAATCCTAGCACTCGGGAGGCAGAGGCAGGAAGATCTCTGAGTTCAAGGCCAGCCTGGTCTATACAGTGAATTCCAGGACATCAGAAAAAAGAAAAGAAAAGAAAAAGAAATAATACTTAAATCCCAATCGAAAAACAAAAATAGTTCAGTTAGATTTCATCTAAATGGAAAACTCTGGATCCATTTAGTATGTATGTATGTCCTGTGATCCCAGCAGCAGAAGGCTTAGTTGTAGGATTGGGAGTTAGAGCAGCCAAATGATATCTAAAAATAGTTAAAATAGACTCCCTAAAACTGTCCTCTGACCTCCACACATGTAACTGCAATTTCTCATACACAAACACGTATAATCATGATAAAATTAAAATAAGTAGGGGCTGAAGAGATGGCTCAGTGTTAAGAGCACTGGCTCCTCTTCCAGAGGACCGAGGTTCAGTTCCCAGCAACCACTTGACAGCTTACAACTAACTCTAGTCCTAGGACATCCAACAAACACCTCCCACAGGTACCAGGCACATGCATGATGTATAGATATACATGCAGGCCAAACACCCATACATATAAAAAAATAAAATTTAAATAAATAAACAAACAAAACCCTGTCCAGAAAGTAAAAAGCCACATAACTGACAAGCTGAAGCCAATAGACAGTCCTGCCCAATTTTCTTACAACTCACCAGGGAGATATCACCCTGTTAGGGTCCTGGAGAAGTCTCACCAAAAAAAAACCATCATCCACATATGCAATCAACAAGAGCATTTATTGTCTTGAGAAAGATTCCAGCATGCTAGGGCCATCCATCCCACACAAAGGCTTGCAGGCACATAGCTAAGGGGAGTTAGGTCATCTCAGATATGATTGACTTTAGCAAGTGGCAATCATATTAGTACCTTCTAATTGGCTAGGGCTAGTCAGGGGCTGGTTAAGGCTACAGCTTTTTCCTTTGGGGCCAGGCCTGGACAAGTCCCAGGCTTTGTCCTTGAGCTGCTGTGGAGGATGGCTCAGGCCTGGTACTATATGTACCAGGCCTCCTTGTCCTTGCTATCAGGGATGTTGAAGATTGATTGTCCTTTGTTCATGGCTCTTCCTCAGAAACTGCCTGTTTGGTTCCAAGAAGCAGGGACTGAGGCCTAGTTCTTAACTGAGTTATAGGGCAGGCTGTCAGGGTATTTGCCTTCTCAACTCCAACTGAAAAATGGACAAGGCTGGGACAAGGGCTCTAAGCCCTCTTTTGGCCTCCATGGGCTCTGCACAGACACGATGCACAGGCATACAGACAGACAAAATGCCCACATACATTTAAAAAACACAATTTAAAAAGTGAAGTTAAAGCCAGGCGGTGGTGGCGCACACCTTTAATCTCAGCACTTGGGAGGCAGAGCCAGGTGGATCTCTGTGAGTTCGAGGCCAGCCTGGTCTATAGAGTGAGATAGATCCAAGACAGGTACCAAAACTACACAGAGAAACCATCTCAAAAAACAAAACAACAACAACAACAACAAAACAAAAAAAGAGTGAAGTTAAGCCAGGCTTGGTGACACACGCATTTAATCTTAGCATTTGAGAGGTAGAAGCAGTTGGGACTCTGTGAGTTCAAGGCCCAGCCTGGTCTACAAAGTGAATTCCAGAACAGCCAGGGATATGCAAAGAAACGCTGTCTCAAAAATACCAAGAAAAAGAAAGAAAAAAAGAAAGAAATCCAAAAAAGATGATGAAGTTAGCCATGGAGTGACTGTGTGACCTGCAGCTGTACTGCAGTGTATGTCACAGTCTTGTGCACAGTGTTTACAGCCTCGTTGCTCCTCGTTGAAAACAAACCAACTCTATCAAGATGAGTGATGGCTGGGCAGTTCAAGTGGTAGAACACTTAACCGAGCACCTCGTAAACTAGTGCACATCTGTCACTCAGAACCCAAGTTAGGGAGAAGGATTGGGAATACAAGGTTATCTTTGGTTGCATAGGGAGTTGAAAGCCAGCCTATACTTGAGACTGTGCCTTGGGGAAAAAGGCTAAAAGGGCTGTAGAAATGACTCAGTCATTAAGAGTGCTTAGCAGGTGGCACAGACCTGAAATTCCAGAATCTAGGAGGTAGAGGAGGCGATCAGAAATTCAAGGTCATTCTCAACGACGTAAAGAGTTTGGAGCCAGCCTGAACTACATGAGAGTCTCAGAAAGGTGGGTGAGGCTAGAGAGGTGGCTCAGTGGTTAAGAGCACTCAGTGAGCAACCATGAGCAAGGACCTGAGTTCAGATCTCAGCACCATTGTAACAAGCCAAGTGTGGCCTCAAATGTATTGGTGATTCTAACTCTGGGGGGGCTGAAAAAAGGGGGTCACTAGGGGCTTGACGACAACTACCCTCAGTAGGTGAGGATTTCTCTCATACACACACACACACTCACATACACAAGAGTTAGAGAAGCAGTTTCTCAAAATGGGTGTGGGAATGTGTGACTGGTGAGCAAACTGTCCTCTGCCCATAGGATAAAGTACTAGTCATCCAGGACAAGGAGTAAAGTACTTATCCATGCCATATCCCAGAAGGCCATGTGGTGTATGATTCCACCTGTGCAAAAAGTTCAAAAGAAGCATGTAGAGACAGACAGATTGATGGTTTCTGATGCAGGGAGAGCATGGACCAGCAGCCAGTGAGCACAAGCTGTCTCGGGAGTGCCTGTGATGTGGAGTTAATGGCCATCATTGCACAATGAATGCACAACAAACCGTGGACGTGGACACTTCAGAAGAGCCAGTTAGGGGTTGGGGAGATGCTCAGTGGTGAGAATGCCTGTGGTGCAGACATGAGGACCTGACAGAAGCCCCGTGTGAGCATAGAAAGATGTGCAGCGCATGGCAGGTGCTGACCACCCTCTGAGACATTGCGGAAGTGTGGTTCCTGTTCGTGCCTGGGCCCTGAGCAGACCACTAGGCAGAGGCGGGTGAGTGTAGCTTACAGATCTTCTGATCTTGAATTTGGTGTTCTATTTTCCTTTTTAAATAAATTTTCAGATCTGTTTTATAATTTTATGTGTATGAATGTCTTGCACCACATGAATGTCTGGTGCCTGAGGAGGTGGTGAACCTCCATGTGTGTGTTGAGAATTGGACCCAAGTCTTTTGCAAGAATAAGTGCTCTTAACCACTGAGCAACCAACTCCCCAGCTCTGATGTTGGTATCTTTATTTTTTAAGAGATTTATTTTTATGTGGTATATTGCCTGCATGTCTGCATGAGGATGCCAGGTCCCCTGGGAATGGAGTTATAGACAGTTGTGAGCTGCCATGTCCATGCTGGGAATTGAACCCAGGTCCTCTGAAAGAGCAGCCAGTGCTTTTAATTACTGAACCAACTCTCCAGCTCTGAAGTTAGTCTTCTTAATGAGCTGTTGGCAATATGCAAGTTTCCATGTATAAAGGAAAATGTTTTGAATATTTGTAAAGCGTCCCTCAGTATCCAACCAGAACGGGTTCCAGGACTGACTGCCCCAATGTAGCAGAGGTAAAAGGCACAGGTACTAGGTTCCTTATGAGCTCTGGAACATCTGTGTGGAGCCTGCACATCCTGGAGGGTGCTGTATGAGTCACGACACCTGAAGCTGGGCAGGTATTTTGTAAGTAGTTTTTGTTAATTTTAAAATTCCCTCTACTTATTTACTTGTGTGTAGAGGTCAAAGAAGAGCTTCCAGGAGTCAGTTCTCTCCTCCCACCTGTAGTCCTGGGGATGGAACTCAGGTCATTAAGCTTGATGGCAAGTGCCTTTACCCACTGACCCATCTCCCCTGCTCTGTAAATAGTTACTATCCCATTTACTTTTTATTGTATATACTATTTATTATAATATATGTTATTTAAGAATGCTGATGCAGGGCTGGAAAGATTGTTCAGTGAGTAAGAACAGTGGCCACTCTTCTAGAGGACTCAGATTCGATTCCCAGCACCCACATGGTATCTCACAACCATCTCTAATCCAGTTTCAGGGGATCCAATACCCTCTGGTCTCCATAGGCACTAGGCATACACATAGTACACAGGCATACATGCAGGCGAAACACCACACACATAAATTAAAAAGAAAAAATAATGATGAGAAGGAAAAAGCCTGTGTAGCCTTTTAGAAAACCAAATTACGTTTTTATTGTTTTCCATCCAAGATTGAAATTGGTTTGGTTAATTTGTTAGTTTGTTTGCTGGGGATAGGACCCAAGGCCTGGAGTGTGCTGGACAGACACTCCCACTGAGCCACACCTCTGCCTCCTTGGTTGGTGTGACGCATGGAGGCCAAGCCCTCAGATCTGGTGGCCCAGGTGTATTAGTTAGTTTTCTCAAGGCTCCAAAGAAATGCCTGCTGTAAGCAACCTAAGGGAAAGATGATGTACTTGGCGCAGAAGTGTCTACTACCATGACAGAGAGGACATGACAGGGCACGGTGGTCCTGGAAACGGGGCTGGAAGCAAAGTATCAGGTTGGCACTTCGCACCAGGGACCTCCCTTCCCAGGACTTCCTCCTCCAGCAATTCACACCTCTGTCGATGTCCTGTGTGGTTCCCACCAGAGGCTGCGTGATCATGTCACCTCTGGAAATGCCATCACGGGCACACTGAGCCTGCTTCTCTAATCCCCTGGGTATTTTCTTTTTTTCTCTTGTTTTTGTTCTTTGTTTCCTTTCTGTGGTCTTTAAGATACACTTTTAAAGGACATTTACTTTGTGTGGATGGGTGAGTGCTCCTGTGGAGGCGAACTTAGGATAGCCACTTCTGCCGTCATGTGGGTCCTCTTACCCAGTGAGCCTTCTCAGCGTCCCCTTGTGTGTGTGTGTGTGTGTGTGTGTGTGTGTGTGTGTGTGTGTGTGTGTGTGTGCATTCTATTATTCTCTCTGTGTGTAAGCACAAGAGTGGACATGCCAGTTGCCAGTGTAGATGACAGAGGACAACTTGCAGAAATCAGTTCTCTCCTTTCAGCATGATTTCTAGGGGTTGCCCTCAGGTTGTACAACAATGGCCTTTACCCGCCGCCGAGACATTGCTGCTGTCCTGTTTTCTGTGGAGTCTTTACTTTGGGCAGAACCTCATGGATCCCAGGCTATCTCAAACTCAAACCTCATTTTATATATATATAGAGAGAGCTGGGACTGGCTTTGAACTCCTTGGTCCTGGGATGACAGGTGTGCACCATGGCATTTCTTCCCAGTTTTGTTGGAACAAAGTCTCACTATGCAGCCCTGGCTCGCTTGAACTCATCTGTCAACTGTGCTGGCCTCAAACTCACAGAAAACCACTCCTAACATTTCTGTTGTTGTTGTAGACCTGGCTAGCTTGGAACTCTCTATGCAGGCTAGGCAGGCTGTGAACTAGGAGATCCACCAGGCTTTGCCTCCAGAATGCTGGGATTGCCAGCTGTGGCGGCACGCCTTTAATCCCAGCACTCGGGAGGCAGAGGCAGGCGGATCTCTGTGAGTTCGAGGCCAGCTTCCAGGAAAGGCGCAAAACTACACAGAGAAATCCTGTCTCGAAAAACAAAAAACAAACAAACAAAACCAGAATGCTGGGATTAAAGGCTCATACAATCATGCCCAGCTCTGAACATTTTTTGATGTAGTCAAATTGATAGTCAAAGTTCACCATCACCGATTGCACACTCCTGTTTTGATCATGAATCAAAGTGATGTGGCCTACTTCGCCCTGTCTTTCCAGGGTGTGACCAGTGTCATCACATTGGCTGGCTGGGCCTGGTGTCTTGGGAAGGAGCCCCTGTTCCCCTGAGCTAACTTTCTCACCACGCCTCTGCTGCCTCTTTCAGAAACCACGCCCTGAACTGCCATCGGATGAAGTCTGCTCTCTTCAGCGTGCTCTGTGAGATCAAGGGAAACACAGGTAGGCAATTCGAAGACTGCCCAGCTCCCACCTCATGCGCTGCACCTGTCGGCCCCTCACAACACACTGTTCTGCCATTTTCAAAATTCAAACAGCAGAATTTTATTCTAATCCAAGTGTCCAAGGTTATCCCCGTGGAAGTCTTCTGCCTCTGCAAATACTTGTGTTTAAGAAGGAGGTGGGGGCCTGGAGAGATGGCTCAATGGTTAAGAGCACTGACTGCTTTCCCAGAGGACCAGGGTTCAATTCCCAGCACCCACATGACAGCTCACAACTGTCTGTAACTCTTAATTCCAGGGGATCCGACACCCACACATAGACATACATGCAGACAAAAACATTAACACACCTAAAAATAAAAACTTTTAAAAAAAACATTAAAAAAGAAGGGGGTGGTACATGGGGCCATGGTATTGTCCAGACCCAGGCTGCTGCATAGGTCCATGTCTGGGTCTGTGGCCCAGCAGCAGCCAGGGACTGAGCTGATGTCTGTTTCTCCTGTTGCCACCAAAGGCTGTGCAGATGCCAGGATCTAGACAGCCTCCCGAGACCATGTTGGTGTCTAAGACCTTGCTGCCACTGGGCCATCCTGATCTGGATGGCCTTTGCTGCCACGAGGGTCATGTCTAGGTCCACGGTCCTGCTGTTGAGGGTCTGTGATGATGTCCATGGCCCGGTTGCCACAGGGGGCCATAGGAACCATGCATGTTGAAATCCAAGGGCCATGCTGAGCCAGCCCCACCCTTTATTAGCCTTGGAAGAGCTGGTCCTGCCCCTCACTGGTCACTGCAGCAGGAGAACTGCCCCTCCACCCCGAACTCTGGAGAGATGGCCCCACCCCTCACTATGGACGTGGGAGAGCTGGCCATGATGGCATGGGCCTAGGAGAGCTGGCTGTGCCTCTCACCTGAGAGGGACGGTCCCAATGGCCAAGATGGACCAGCTCAGCTACCACCTAGACCTACATCCTGGGCCTTGGGTTGGGCCACTCTCTCATCTATGACCTGCTGTAGTTCGTGAAGGAACTGGTCCCTCGGAACCATAACTGCAGGATATCCGAGAGGAGTTTCAGTGAGGGTCCAGTGATGATGGTGTGCCAGAGGCCTTGAACCAGATGAACGCCTCTCTGCAATGAACATTTTGTGGGTGGGGCTGATTGGACAAAAGGGTAGACTGCGTGATACACCGCAGCTCCCAATGCCGCCAGGATGAATGAAGAGGTGTTGGAAAGACGGAGAATCAGGGTGATTTTTTGTTTGTTTTGTTTTGTGGATAGTTGATTTGGTGGGAGCTTCTTTTTTTTTTTTTTTCCGTTTTTCGAGACAGGGTTTCTCTGTGTAGCTTTGCGCCTTCCCTGGGACTCGCTTGGTAGCCCAGGCTGGCCTCGAACTCACAGAGATCCACCTGGCTCTGCCTCCCGAGTGCTGGGATTAAAGGCGTGCGCCACCACCGCCCGGCCTGGTGGGAGCTTCTTTAGGGGAGGATGCTGCAGGGGAGAAGGGAGGATGGAGGGACTGGAAGGTGAGCGGGATTGGGGTGCATGATGTGAAATTCCCAAAGAATCAATAAAGAGTTATGTTATTAAAAAAAAAAAAAAGAGGGGTGGCATGGGCTAGCCCAAAGCTCAGTAGATAAAGGCACTTGCCGCTCCCTGTGACTGACCTGAGTTCTGTCCCCAGGACCCACGTGGTAGAAGAAGAGAATTGACTCTGATCTCCATATGTGTTGTGGCACATGCCCCCATCTTACAAATAAAGGAGTATAGTTAAAAAATTAAATTTAAAAATTAGCAATAATAGGAAGGGAGGAATCTCAGCACCTGAGAGGAGAGAGGGAGAGCAGAGGTTACAGCTCAAGGTCTAGGCCAGTCTGGAAACCATGAGATCCTGTCTCAAAAGAGAAATGAGCAAAGGAAGAGAGGAGTGGTTAAGTCACTCGCCCTGCAAGCGTGAGGACTGGAGTGGAGATGCCCAGACCTTTGTAAATGGAGAAGATAGGGTCCAGGGTCAAGCTGCCTGTCCAGACTAGTCAGATCAGTGAGTTCTGGGTAAGGAAGAGGGCCTGGAGAGATGGCCCAGTATGTAAGGGGATGGGTTGCAGAGATGGCTCAGTGGTTACAGAGGACCTGGGTTCAATTCCCAGTCCCCATGTGGTGGTTCACAGCCATCTGTAACTCCAGGTCCAGGGATATGAAGCTGCCGCCTTCTCACCTTGCAAGCAGGCAGACTCCTGTGCCCAGACACGCACGCGTGCAGGTAAAACGCCAATACACGTGTAAATCAAGGACAGCATTGATGCCATCCGTGGACTACACACACACACACACACACACACACACACACACACACACACGAAGGTGTGTCTGCACACATTGTACACCCACAGCCACTACACACAGACACACACACACAGACACACACAGACACACACAGACACAGACACACACAGACACAGACACACACACACACACACACACACACACACACACACACACACACGCAAAGAAAAAGCCAAGCTTGGCAGCACAGTCCTATCGTCAATTCAGGAAGCTGAGGCAGGAGATTTCAAACTCAAGGTGAACCTGGCCTTCCTTACAAGACCTTGTAAGGAAAGACCTTGTAAAGCTAGGCATAGTGACTCACACCTTTAATTCCAGCACTCAGGAGAGGCAGGCATAGCTCTTGAGTTCAAGGCCAGCCTGGTATACATAGTGAGTTTCTGGACTTCCAAAGCTACAGAGTGAGACCCTGTCTCAAAAACCAGAACCTCAAACTTTTTAAAAATAATTTATTTTTATTTTATGTGCATTGGTGTTTTGTCTTCATGTATGTCTGTGTGAGGGTATCAGATCTTAGAGTTACAGACAGTTGTGAGCTGCCATGTGGGTGCTGGGAATTAAACCAGGATTCTCTGGAAAAGCAGTCAGTGCTCTTAACCACTGGGCCATCTCTCCAGCACAAACCTCAAATCTTGATCCTCCTGCCTCAATCTTGTGAGTGCTGAGATATCTGCTTCCATCAGCCTGATGGCTCCAGGCACTTCCTGCACGGGACTGTGCACTGCTGGGACTTTGTTTCATGGAGGGGAGGCTTCAAGTGTATCTATTGTATCTTATGCCCTAATTTCATACTTATTGAGCAAGAAGCTGAATGGTGTTCTGCTGTGTGCTTTTTCTTTCTTGTTTTATTTGAGACAGAGTCTCTTATCCCAGGCTAGTCTCAAACTATGTAGGCGAGGCTGGCCTTGAACTTCTGATCTTCCTGCCTTTACATTCCCAGTGCTCCACTGACTGAGATACAGCTCCATGCTCCATTGTGTGTGTGTAGCACATTTTGTGTATCTGTTCCTCTGACAGATGCATGTGTGTGTCCTTCTTAGCCTTTGGGAACAGTGCCGTGACCCAGGGGTGCGGAGTCGACTGTCCAGAGTCCCTGCTCTTCTTGGTTTTGTCTTGTTTTCAGCAGTGCTAGAAGGGAGCGGGGCCCTCACGCATGCTGTGCCGGTTTAGTTCATTCTCTTGCTGCTGTGACAGAAACGCCTGCTAAAGCAACGTGAAGAGGAAGGGTTTGCTGTGGCCCCTGGGTTAAGGGACATGGTCTGTCATGGCAGGAAAGCTTGGTGGTGGCGGCGGCAGCAACTCTGGGCTGTAGAGAGGGAACGTGAAGCAGCTGGTTATACTTCCTCATGTCTCCCACCTCCCAAATCAGCACTACCAGCTGGGAATTTTGTGCTCAGACACAACAGACTGGACCAAGCCAAGCAGTGGTGGCGCACGCCTTTAATCCCAGCACTTGGGAGGCAGAGGCAGGTGGATCTCTGTGAGTTCAAGGCCAGCTGGTCTATAGTGTGAGTCTAGATCAGCTAAGTCTACATACTGAGACCCTCTCCCATAAAATAAAAAAAAGAAAAGAGAAGAGAAGAGGGAGACAGGACAGGAGAGATGGCTCAGCTCTTCCAGAGGTCCTGAGTTCAATTCCCAGCAACCACATGGTGGCTCACAATCATCTGTAGTGAGATCTGGTGCCCTCTTCTGGCCTGCAGGCATACGTGCAGATAGAACACTGTATACATAATAAATAAATAAATATTTTTTTAAAAAGAGAGAGAAGGGGGAGACAATTCTGTCTTTTTGAGACAGGGTTTCTCTGTGTAGTTTTGGTGCCTGTCCTGGATCTCGCTCTGTAGCCCAGGCTGGCCTCGAACTCACAGAGATCCATCTGGCTCTGCCTTCCCGAGTGCTGGGATTAAAGGCGTGCGCCACCGCCACCTGGTGACAATTCTGTCTTAATGGCCGTTGATTTTCCACACCATATTAACTCATGGACTGACTCACTCTGGTGCCTTAGCTGCAGTAGGTGCCGGCTGGCATCCCTTGCTCTCAGCACACCCACCGGCCGGTGCCCTGATGTCTTCTCACACACCCTCTAACCCAGAAGGCCACTTCGTCTGCTTTCCAAGGCCAATGTAGCTTCTTTGATTTGCATTTATTTTTTCAGTTTCTTTTACTTTCTTTTTATAAGTTTGTAAATTAAAATTTTAATTTTTTCATTTGTTTGTTTTGTTCTGTTTTGGTTTTTTTGTCGTTGTTTTCAAGACAGGGTTTATCTGTGTAGACCTGGCTGTCCTGGAACTTGCTCTGTAGACCAGGCTGGCCTCAAACTCCATAGATATTCTCCTGCCTCTGCCTCCTGAGTGTTGGGATTGAAGGTGTGCACCACCAAAGTCCAGCAAATTTTTAATTTTTTAAATTAAAATGTTATTACATCATTTTCCCCTCACTCTCCTCCAACTCTTCCTGTGTACCCCCTCCCTCTCCCCTCTCAACTTCATGACCTTTTTTTAATTATTGTTGCACACACACACACACACACACACACACACACACACACACACACACACATGAGGGAGAGAGAGAGAGACAACCTGCTGAGGTCATTTAGCTTTCTCTGTGTAGATGTTTGCAAGACTGACCCCTTGCCGTTGGATAACAATCAGGGAGCTCATCCCTGGGAAAGACTGATTATCTGTCTGTCTGTCTGTCTACCTCTCTCCCTCCCTATCTCTCTCAATAGTCAACTGTGTGTAGTTCTTCATCTAGGGTTGGGACCCTGTGAGGTCTCTCTGCTCGTGTTAGCACATCTATTGGTGCAGTCCTTGTTCAGGTCCTGTTTAAGCAGCCTTATTGTCAAGGTTTCATGGGTGTGGCTTCCCTGTCATTTGTAGGAGACACATTCTACAAGAGACGTCCTGGTCTCCTGGCTCTTGCAGTCTGCCCCTTGTTCTTCGTGTGGGGTTGTGCATCCGCTGGAGCTGGGCACCCCTCAATTGGTGTTCTCCGCATGTGACCAGCTTTTTGTAGTGTTCTCTCTTCATTGAGGGTTAGAGCTGTCCTTACAGGCTGGGTGCTGGCACAACCCCACCTGAAAGAGCTGTCCTCGAAGCAAGGCGAGGACATTTGCTCCAGAGCCATTTGAGAGTAGATTTCTGACTCATTGCTCTGTGACCTCCAGACAGCTCAGTGTCTCAGTCCTGCTTGTCAGGGTCAGCCAAGGATGTCACTCACGTTGATGTGGGTAGTGGGAGCCCTTAGAGCTGGCCCGTGACCTACTGAAGGTTGTCTTCCTACTGCCAGAAGGTTCTCACCTCACATTCTCCCCTCAGCCCAGCTGTACCACCTGGTCCAGAGAACCCCTGGAGATAGTTAAGGGCCCTGGACACGCCATTGCTCTTGGGGCATTACTGCTTCCGGCGACTCTCAGAACATAGATCTCAGGAGTATTTGTGGGCGTCCCGCAGCCCTGCTCAGCCTCCACTGTCAGTGCAGATGTTACATAAGCTTTCCTGTCTGCTGTGTGCATGGGCACACGTGTACTTACATGTGGAAGCCAAAGGTTGGTGTCACATGTCTTCTTCTGTACTCTGTTTTATAGTTTGAGGTAGTCTCTCACTGACTGAGCAAGACTGGCTGGCCAGCAGGCCCTTCCTGTCTGTCTCTCCAGTGTTGGGATTGCGAGGACGGTACCTGGCTTTTTGACATGGTTTTTGGGAATCAAACTCATGTCCTCATTGTTTTCAAGGCATGCCATCTCCTCAGCCCCGCCCATCTGTTTCTTATTTAAATTCTGAGGAGCAGATACCTGGAGTCCCAGAAAATGAGAGCATGGAAGGTGGGCTTTCTTAGGGACCCCGACACGCAAGCTTCTTATTGATCTGCTTCTAGCAGCTCTCCCTGCACTGCTAGTGCAGATGAGCCGAGAGGACTTACCTTCCCACCCCCATCATGGCCACGTGGCTGTCCTCTGGTACAGTTGACGGTCACATGCTCTTTAGAGTTCTCACAATGTGTCCTGTTGGTCCACTTCACCTTGTACCTAATGACCAGCCTGCGTCAGCACTGCCTGCTGAGGCCTGCTGCCCCCACCCATGCCTTTCTGCTCCCTTTGTTTGTGAGCTGCCCACTGCCCACAAGTTGTTCCTGTCACCACAGGTCCTCGGATATGTAGCCTCTGGGGATTGCTGCTTATTTGTGTGGTTGATTGACAGGGTTTCTCTGTGTAGCCCCGACTGTCCTGAAACTCCATCTGTAGACCACGATGGCCTCGAACTCAGAGATCCATTGGCCTCTCCCTTCCGAGTGCTGAGATCAGAGATATGCACAATGCCAGGCAGTGGTGATGCACACCTTTAATCCTAGCACTCGGGAGGCAGAGGCAGGTGGGTCTCTGAGTTCAAGGCTAGCCTGATCTACAGAGTTAGTTCCAGGACAGCCAGGGCAACACAGAGAAAACCATGCCTCAAAAAAACAAAAACAAAAAAAACAACAACAAAGAAGAGTTCAAGGTCATCTACACAGCAAATTCAAGGAGACCAACCTAGACTCCGAGAGACATTTGTGTCATATGTGTTCATGCCTGATTCTTGCATTTGGGAGGATGAGGCAGGAGAACATAGAGTTCAAGACTGGCCAGGTGTGCCTTTAATCCTAGCACTCAGGAGGCAGAGGCAGGTGGATCTCTGTGAGTTTGAGGCCAGCCTGGTCTACAGAGTGAGTTCCAGGACAGCCAGGGCTACATAATAGAAAGACCCTGTCTCAAAGAAAGAGAGAGAGAGTTAGTTCTCTGGGTTACAAACCAAAGCCCTATCTCAAAAAGCCAAAATAGCTAAGTGTGGAGGCGTGTGATTAATCCCAAAACAGAAGAGGCAGGCAGATTGGGAGTTCAGGGTCAACCGAGTCTACATAGTGAACCTGAGCTAAATGAGACCCTGTCTCTCAACCGCCTGCATGCGTCCCCAAGGCCCAGAAACAAGAAGTTGTTTTCCTGACTGCAGTCTCAGCAAGCTGTCGTTTCTGAAGCTCCTTTTGCTCCGCGAGCTGAAGGAGAAACCAGTGGTGCCGGCTTGGGCTTGTCGGCAGGGCAATCCTGGGCTTCGGGTGTCTCAGTCTGTTCCGTTCAGAAAGGTTGATCCCTGTTTCCATGGGGACAGATCAGAGTGCCTGAACACTGAAACCCTTGTCTTCACCCTGCCCTCTATCCTGGACTTCTGGCTCCCGTGGAGGGAGCCCTGGGGGGTGGCAGGCTTGAAGGCAGGGCCACACATTCTAGCTGGGTGTGCCTTCCACCCACAGGCTCAGACAGCTGAACTGGGGCACAGTTTTGGTTATGATGGGATAGGGTGGAGTGACAGGTTCTTACTCAAGCCAAGCACGTTGTTGAAGCCTCCTGTGAGCTGATGACCCCAGAGTAGCCATTATGCCACAGCAAGGGAAAGAGCATGCTGAGGCACCGTGGGCCTACCTATAGGACTTGAGTGTGAGGACAGCGGTAGAGCAAGGGAGACTCAGTTCTCCTCCACCAGAAAAGGCCAAGGCTCAACTCAGAGAATCTTCTCCATAATCCTGACCTGACTCCCACAGCCTACTGGCCAGGAGCTGTCCTTGAGCCCAGGAGGAGGACATAGGTCTCTAAGCTGAGAAACGGGCATTTGCCTACTGTATGTCTGTGCACCTTGTGCATGCCTGGTGCCCAAAGGGACCAGAAGAGGGCATTGGATCTCCTGGAACAAGTTACAAATGGTTGTGAGCTGTAGTGTGGATGCTGAGAACTGAAGCCGGGTCCTCTGCACGAGCTGAGCTGTCTTCCAGCCCTATTTACGTTTGTTTGTTTGTTTGTTTGTTTGTTTTTTGAGACAGGGTAGACCTGACTGTCCTGGATCTCACTCTGTAGACCAGGCTGGCCTCAAACTCACAGAGACCCACCTGCCTCGTCCTCCCAAGTGCTGGAATTAAAGATGTGCACTACCACCGCCCGGCTTATTTTTTATTTTATGTGTTTTGGTATTTGCCTGGATGTATGTCTGCACCATGTGTGTGCAGTGTAGGAATTAGAGGCATGAGCCAGCTCACTAGCACCTGGATCAAGCATTTCCTTTTCTGCTTTGTAGGAGTGCTACCCTCCATACACACACACACACACACACACACACGGACACACACACAGACACACACGCACACACACGCACACATACTCATGCACATGGATATATGCATGGATACATGGACACAGATGCATGCATGTACACACACATACAGGGACACATGCATGCATGGACACATGCGTGTGCACACACACAGGGACATGGACACGTGGGCACATTAGAGAACCCATCAGTGCAGTACTATGCCTGATCCCAGTGAGAGGCTATTTAATACTTTTTTCACGTTTATTTACTTTGGAGGAGGGCTGGGAGAGCTACCATGTAGATCAGAGGTCAAGTTGCAGGATTTGATATTCCTTCTACGATGTGGGTCCTGGGATTGATTTCAGGCTTGGCAGCTCCTCTACCCACTGAGCCATCTCACCAGCCCTGCATTTGCCTTTCTATCCACACCAACACCAGCGTGACCCCTTCCCCAGCACTTGAGGACACCCACCCAGGCCTGGCTGTGTTCTCCTGTGGCTGTCAGGGTCTGTCCACATGTGCTGTGCTGTCCTCTCCACAGCCAAGACGGTGCTCCTGAAGATGGCATTTGGGTCAGTGTCTGGGTGGGTTCCTAGGTGTCTCTGATCCAATGTTGTAATAAAGGGGGTGCAGAGACGGTTTGGAGGTTCCGAGTGTTTCTTGCTCTTGCAGAGGACTGAGTTTTGTTCCCAGCACCTACACTGGACAGCTTACAGCTGCCTGTGTGATGCCAGCCTAGGGGGTCTGACACTCTCAACCTGGGCTCTTAGGACATCTGTACTCACACATGCACATACCCACACATAGACACACATGTAGACATAACTTAAACTTTTAAAATGATGCCCAGCCATGGTGCCAGTGCCACTTGGTCCTGGCTTGTGTTCTCTGCAGAGAACACATCCCAGTCTGCCTGTCTCTCTCATGTAGCCGTGAGTATCCGGCATCAGGAAGAGGATCCTCCCGACGCTCAGCTCCTGAGGCTGGATAACATGCTGCTGGCTGAGGGTGTGTCCAGGCCAGAGAAGAGAGGACGAGGAGCAGCGGCAGGCGCCACAGCAACACCAGGTGGCTGTCCAAATGACAATAGCATTGAGCACTCAGACTACAGGGCCAAGCTGTCCCAGATCCGACAGATTTACCACTCTGAGCTAGAGAAGTATGAACAGGTGATCTTTCTGCACGCCAGAGTTTCTCGTGTGAATGCACATTGGCCACAGTCAGATGTGGACGCTAGCCCCCTCCTCTGTGGCAGAGCAGGGACGCCTGCTGCAGTCCATCGCTGCAGAGGTGGCTGGCGTCACTGAAAGCCCTTCCCTCCTCAGACGCTGACCTGTGGGTGAGCTGTGGGGGTGGCAGATGTGGTCAGGTGTGGAGCCCACTGCCTTGCACCTGGCTGCTTAGTCACAGACTGGCCCATCTTTTCCCACCCCAGGCCTGTCGTGAGTTCACCACGCATGTCACCAACCTTCTCCGGGAACAGAGTAGGGTGAGGCCTGTGTCCTCCAAGGAGATGGAGCACATGGTTGGCATCATCCACAGCAAGTTCAGTGCCATCCAGAGGCAGCTGAAACAGAGCACCTGTGAGGCTGTCATGACCCTGCGCTCACGGCTCCTGGACGCCAGGTCAGGGCTGCATGCCACCGGGTTCCCCAGGGGTTTACTCTTAGGAACAGAAGCCGAGTTGGTGCTACCTCTGGGGTCTGTCCTGTACTGTGTTGCTGAAGACTGAACTGGGAACTCTGCACTAAGCACATATTCTCCCTACCACTGAGCCCCACCCCAGCCCTGTCTTGGATTTAAGTCCATACAAAGGTTCTGGCTTGGCCTCACACAGCTTCTCCAGGAGAGGATCCAAAGTACTGACTGCTGTTTGTTTTCACTGTGTGTGAATGGCAGGTCTGTGTGTGCCGTGACACACTGTGGCTGTCAGAGGACAGCCTCGGATGTTGGGCAGGGTCTCTGTTGTTTTCACTGTGTGTGCCAGGCTGGATGCCCGCCAGCTGCAGAGAGCTCTCCTGTGTACTGCCCATCTTGCCACAGAGCACTGCAGCCACAGACATGCACTGACATACGTGCCTTTTACATGGGTTCAGAGAGCTCAGACTTGGGTCCCCATTCTTGTTCGTTACCCACTGGGGCGCCTCTCAGGCTCCTAACTGCTGTTTTAAAAATTGCAGAAGATCAGGAATGAGAGACAGTCAAGTGCTTGCCTTGTGAGCAGAAGAACCTGGTTTTGTGTACCCAGCACCCACATAAAAAGCCGGACGTGGGCCAGCAAGATGGTTCAGTGGGTAGGATAACTTGGTGCAAAAGTCGTTCAGGACCTGAATTTGATACCCAGAATGACCGAACCTGCAGGAGGAGAACTCAGCAATAGCTGGGGCCAGGAGGCCTTGCATAAGTGACGACTTACGCCGAGCTGGGTCATTAAGAAGTAGAGCATCCTGTATACTATTGCAGGGGGAACGGCCAGGGTTAGCAGAGAGCTAAATCAGACAGTGTTGGCAAAGAGAACATGAAACGCCTCAGACATAGCAGCTTAAGGACTGGGAACCACAGCCCAGGGGAAGGACTGGGTCCCCAGAAGCTACAGCCTTGACTCCTCTGAGGCACTGGCTCCAGCATCAGACTGGCCTTGCCAAGTCCACTCCTGGACGAGGACACAGAACTGGTGTTCCCTCTGTCCTTTTCACCAGGGCCTCTGAGAAAGCCTTGGGTTGGTCTGGCTGTCCACACCAGAAGCCATGATGGACGGAGAGAACCAACTGCCAGGAAGTTGTCCCCTGACCTCTACCTACACGCATGACATGCGTGCACCTGTGTGTGTGCACACATACATACACAGGCACAGACACACACACACACACACAGACACACACACACTAATATTTTTTTTTTTAAAAAAGCCAGAAGCTACTGCAACCCAGGCACTAGAAATGTGGAGACAGGCGGATGCCCGGAGTCTACTGACCAGCCAGTCTGGCCAGGTCAGTGAGCTCCAGGTTCAGCCAGAGACCTTGCCTCAAAGAAACAAGAGTGATAGAGGACACTAGTCTTCCCACGCATACACATGTGCACATGTACACTCACATAGACCGCCAGGGGATTATGGGTGTGAGAACTGTAACTAGAGTGTCGGATCTCTGTCTGCAGGCGGAAGCGGCGGAATTTCAGCAAGCAGGCCACTGAAGTGCTGAATGAGTATTTCTATTCCCATTTGAGCAACCCTTACCCCAGTGAAGAGACCAAAGAAGAACTGGCCAGGAAGGGTGGCATCACAGTGTCCCAGGTGAGCCGTCCTGCCCTGGAAGAAGTTGAGTCGGTTGAGGAAGACTGCTGCTGCGGCTACTTAATGTGTGGGAGGACTCCTGGGGAGGGCACTTAATGTGTGGGAGGACTCCTGGGGAAGGCACTTAATGTGTGGGGAGGACTCCTGGGGAAGGCACTTAATGTGTGGGGAGGACTCCTGGGGAAGTCACTTAATGTGTGGGGAGGACTCCTGGGGAAGGCACTTAATGTGTGGGAGGACTCCTGGGGAAGGCATTTAATGTGTGGGAGGACTCCTGAGGAAGGCACTTAATGTGTGGGGAGGACTCCTGGTGAAGTCACTTAATGTGTGGGGAGGACTCCTGGGGAAGGCACTTAATGTGTGGGGAGGACTCCTGGGGAAGGTACTTAATGTGTGGGAGGACTCCTGGGGAAGACATTTAATGTGTGGGAGGACTCCTGGGGAAGGCACTTAATGTGTGGGAGGACTCCTGGGGAAGGCATTTAATGTGGAAGGAGGACTCCTGGGGAAGGCATTTAATGTGTGGGGAGGACTCCTGGGAAAGGTACTTAATGTGTGGGGAGGACTCCTGGGGAAGTCACAATGTGTGGGAGGACTCCTGGGGAAGGTACTTAATGTGGAGGAGTACTCCTGGGGAAGTCATTTCATGTGTGGGGAGGACTCCTGGGGAAGTTGCTTAATGTGGAGGGAGGACTCCTGGGGAAGTCACTTAATGTGTGGGAGGACTCCTGGGAAAGTTAATGTGTGGGGAGGACTCCTGGGGAAGGTACTTAATGTGTGGGGAGGACTCCTGGGGAAGGCATTTAATGTGTGGGGAGGACTCCTGGGGAAGGCACTTAATGTGTGGGGAGGACTCCTGGGGAAGGCACTTAATGTGTGGGAGGACTCCTGGGGAAGACATTTAATGTGTGGGAGGACTCCTGGGGAAGGCACTTAATGTGTGGGAGGACTCCTGGGGAAGGCACTTAATGTGTGGGAGGACTCCTGGGGAAGGCACTTAATGTGTGGGAGGACTCCTGGGGAAGGCATTTAATGTGGAGGGAGGACTCCTGGGGAAGGCATTTAATGTGTGGGAGGACTCCTGGGGAAGGTACTTAATGTGTGGGGAGGACTCCTGGGGAAGGCACTTAATGTGTGGGGAGGACTCCTGGGGAAGGCATTTAATGTGTGGGAGGACTCCTGGGGAAGGCATTTAATGTGTGGGGAGGACTCCTGGGGAAGGCACTTAATGTGTGGGAGGACTCCTGGGGAAGTTGCTTAATGTGGAGGGAGGACTCCTGGGGAAGTCACTTAATGTGTGGGAGGACTCCTGGGAAAGTTAATGTGTGGGGAGGACTCCTGGGGAAGGTACTTAATGTGTGGGGAGGACTCCTGGGGAAGGTACTTAATGTGGAGGGAGGACTCCTTGGGAAGTTGCTTAATGTAACTTACTATGTGGCACTGTTCGTGTGTGTCAGCCGGGCACGGCTCAGATCCCAGCATGCACTGTGAATTAGAACATTGGTGGGGACTCTGCTCCCTCTCCTGGAAGAAGGATGTGAGAGCACTAGGGCAAGCTGTGGAGTCTCCGGCGCTGGTGTGAGCTCTAGAAGGCTATGACAGCAGAAGTGAATGCCACACTAGGCCTAACTTGATCATCTGGGACCTCAAAGCCACCCACAATGACACACTTCCTCCAAGGCCACACCTCCAAATAATGTCACTCCCTGTGGGTCAAGCATTCAAACACATGAGTGTATGTAGACCATTCGTATTCAAATCCCCACAGACAGTGTGAGGAACAGGCAGATTCACTCCACCCCTACTCCCTCATACCCCTACCCCTGGCCCCCCTCTTGCTGGTGCCAGGTCCTCCAGAGAGCAGGGTCAACAAGTTTTAAAGGTCTTGCCACATTCCAGGGGCTCTCCTGGGCCCTGAGGCCATCCCCAACAACAGAGTTCTATGCTAGAAGCTCCACTCCACCTTGTCAGATCCATGAGGGGTCAGGACCCACTCAAGTGGCCTGCCATTAGTTGAAGTGAGGTTCTGAATTTAGGGTGCAGGTGAGTAGGCCATGAGGTACATCTCAGGAGAAATCGAGAGGAAGGAGACACTGTCAGGGCGGAGGTACTTCTGCTGGTGCCAGGGGATGTCTTCAAGACAGGGTCACCTCAGGCTGAGGGGGCCCCAAGGGGAGAGGGACAAGGGAGCCAAGCTAGTGTGGGGGTGGGGCTCCAAATGGGACCCAATGAGCCAGGCCTCTAGGCTGGGATCCCTAAAACTGATGCCACAGCCCCACCTGCAGTGAGGTGAGGTCTCCCTGTGGAAAGTTGCTTCCTACCAGTTACCAAGTCCTCGGTTCCCACTCAGCATGTCCGAACTCCCTGGCTTATCCACACTGAAACTGCTCTTGTCTGGAGCTACGACAGTAGGTAGACTGTGTCCCAGCTATGCAGAAAGGTCACCAGAACCAGGAGTCCTGGGCAACACAGCTAGATCCTCATCTCAAAAAGGAAATTCGGTGGCACATCCCTTTAGCCCCAGCATTTGGGAGGCAGAGGCAGGCAGATCTCTGTGAGTTCAAGGCCAGCCTGGTCTACACAGAGAGTTCTGGGACAGCCAGAGCTACACCAAGAGCCCCTTTCTGGAAAAGAAGAGAAGGAGGAATGAAGGAAAGGAGGAGGAAGGGGGGGGAGGAGGAGGAGAGGAAGAAGAAGAAGAAGAAGAAGAAGAAGAAGAAGAAGAAGAAGAAGAAGAAGAAGAAGAAGAAGTGGAGCTGGATAGATGGCTCAGTCTCAAGAGCACTGGCTGCTCTTCTAGACCTGGGTAAGATTTCAGCACCAACGTGCCAGTTCACAGCCATCTTTAACTCTAGTCCCAAGATATTCAATACCTTCTTCCCACATCTAGGGACACCAGACATGCACATGGTATATATTCACACATACACACAGGCAAAGCACCCATGCACACAAAATAAAATGAAATAATCTTAGAAAGAGTAGTGCCTGGTGGAAGTGTGGCCTTAGCACCATCCAGGCCTGTGAGGAAGATGACTGCCTTCCTTGCAGATCAGGGAGCCATGCTGTTCTGGAAACTGCAGTTATTTGGGTCCTTTTTCCTGTTTTGTTGAGTTAGGTTAGGTTTTGGTTTTGAGCCAGATCTCATTCTAGCTCAGCCTGACCTGGAACTATGTTGCCCAAGATGGCTTTGAATTCACAGTAATCCTCCTGCTTCAGCCTCCCCACTGTAGGACACCAGGTGTGAATCATCAAGCTTAGTGTCTTTCATTGTAGTGGTGGTGGTGATTTTTTTATAATTATGTATTATTTATTTGTGTGTGTGTACACACCATGCATTAATCCATGTGCCTGTCACTGTGTGTGTGTGTGTGTGTGTGTGTGTGTGTGTGTGTGTGTGTGGTGCCTGTCACTGTGTGTGTGGTGCCTGTCACTGTGTGTGTGGTGCCTGTCACTGTGTGTGGTGCCTGTCACTGTGTGTGGTGCCTGTCACTCTGTGTGTGGTGCCTGTCACGGTGTGTGGTGCCTGTCACTGTGTGTGTGTGTGTGGTGCCTGTCACTGTGTGTGTGGTGCCTGTCACTGTGTGTGTATGTGTGTGTGTGTGTGTGTGTGTGTGTGTGTGGTGCCTGTCACTGTGTGTGTGTGGTGCCTGTCACTGTGTGTGGTGCCTGTCACTGTGTGTGTGTGTGTGTGTGGTGCTTGTCACTGTGTGTGTGGTGCCTGTCACTGTGTGTGTGGTGCCTGTCATGGTGTGTGGTGCCTGTCACTGTGTGTGTGTGTGTGTGTGTGGTGCCTGTCACTGTGTGTGTGGTGCCTGTCACTGTGTGTTGCCTGTCACTGTGTGTGTGTGGTGCCTGTCACTGTGTGTGGTGCCTGTCACTGTGTGTGGTGCCTGTCACTGTGTGTGTGTGTGGTGCCTGTCACTGTGTGTGGTGCCTGTCACTGTGTGTGGTGCCTGTCACTGTGTGTGGTGCCTGTCACTGTGTGTGTGTGGTGCCTGTCACTGTGTGTGGTGCCTGTCACTGTGTGTGTGTGTAGTGCCTGTCACTGCAGGAGTGTGGAAATCAGGACAACTTTAGCACTTGTTTCTTTCCTCCCACTATGTGGTTCCTAGGACTTAAACTCAGTTCCTAGACTTGATGGCAAGCACCTTTACCTAGTGAGCCTTCTTGCCAGCCCCCAACCTCTTGTTTGTTTTGCTTTGGTTTGGTTTTGGTTTTTCAAGACAGGGTTTCTCTGTGTAACAGCTCTGGCTGTCCTGCAACTCGCTTTGTAGATCAGGCTGGCCTCAAACTCACAGAGATCCGCCTGTCTCTGCCTCCTGAGTGCTGGGATTAAAGGTGTGTGCCACCACCACCACCACCACCACTACTCAGCAAGCCCACACCAAGACAGCATCCATTATCTGTGCATCTATCCACAGGTCTCTAACTGGTTTGGCAACAAAAGAATCCGGTACAAAAAGAACACCGGGAAGTTTCAAGAAGAGGCCACCATGTACACTGGAAAGACATCCACGACCACCATGGCCCGGGGCCCAGGGGGTCAGACCAACTGCCCGTCCACACCCAGCCCCGGTGACAAGGCCATAGCCCGCCCTAACTGTAAGCTTTCTGGAGGGTTAGGTGTGACCCAAACCACCTGATCCCTGTAGACAGCCAGCTTCACCCACACAGGGCTTGGGGAAGAGCAAGTGGCTAGATGCTTTAGGGAGTCACATCCAGAGTCCTTTTTGGTGAGAGATTGGGCAATTGCCACCCAGAAATCCCTGTGACTTTTGGCCCAGCTTCTGCTGTAATTCCTGCTCCCCACTCCACCATGCCAGCCTGACTCGACCCACTTCTCTCAGGTTCCTGTGGCCCCTTCCCCCTGACCAGTGGAGGTGACATGGTTCTCACCCTGCGGACCCTGGCCTTCCTCCAGCCCCCACCTGGGGGAGCATGCCTCCACACCCCGGTGAGTCAGCTGCAGCCACCAGGGGACCCCTCCTGAGCTTGGGGGAAGTAGAGGTACCCTGATGCTGGGTCTCTCAGGAAGGAGACCCCGAGGAAAAATGGGAGCATTTAACCTCTGGGTTCAGACCTATCTATCATCATTGGGGGCTGGAGAGGTGGGAGGGAGGGTCTCACCCTGGAAGGGCAGCATCTGCCAGGCGGGGGTGTGGTAACTGGGATCTAGACAGCCAAGCTGCCTCCAAAGCTCTCTCAGTGTCACCTGAATGCTTTGTAGGCCTTGTGACCTCCCAGTCTGTCCTGGGGGTCTGACTGAAGCCTCCTCTCAAGGACCTGTGAGGGCACGGCATAAATATTGGAGCCTGGCATGGTGGCACTGGCCATGGCCCCTTGAGCCCCATGGGCTTCCCAGAAGCTCCCTTAGAACCAGCCCTGGGGCTCAGGACAGCAGTGGGCCTGACTCACTCTGGCCTGCCTGCCAGCACCGTGAGTCCCAGCCTAACACAGGCTGTGGGCTGCAAGCAGTCTGGGCCTGCTTCTTGCACACCTGGTGCTCCAGGACAGAACCAGCAGGGTGAGGGGGGAACTGGAGCAAGGCGATAGCCTGCCCTGCCCTGGAGCAGCACCCCTGTCAGACCTGGGGCAATGCACGCCCTGCAGACACCCCACCTGACCCTCCTTAGTTTTCAGCTAAAATATGATCCAAACAGACGGTTTGTTTGTTTGTTTGTTTGTTTGTTTGTTTGTTTGTTTGAGATAGGGTCTCTACATTGCCCTGGCTGTCTTAGAACTCACTATATAGACCAGGCTGGCCTCAAATTCACAAAGGTCCCCCTCCCTCTTCCTCCTGAGGCCTGAGATTAAACAAATGCACCATCATGCCAGGCCCAAGCCAACACTTCCATCCTCCTGGCTCTTTTTTGTTGTTGTTTTGTTTTTTTCATTGTTGTTGTTGTTTGAGACCGGGTTTCTCTGTGTAGTTTTGGTGCCTGTTCTGGATCTCTGTCTATAGACCAGGCTGGCCTCGAACTCACAGAGAGCCATCTGCCTCTGCCTCCTGAGTGCTGGGATTAAAGGCGTGCGCCACGACCGCCTGGCCTCCTGGCTCTTCTTAAAGGTCACTCTGCCAGAATGGTCGCTGTCCATTACCCAGGGGCTTCGGCACACACCTGCCATGGCCTCACTCACAGAGCCTCTGCCAAACCTGCTCTGCCTCGTACAGTGTGTGAGGACAGTGTCCCTGAGCTTGGCACACCTGTCCAGCTGTGCTCAGACGATGGGCAGAAAAGCTCCAAGGTGTGCCGTGTCCATGGACACTGCAGACAGGAGGCTGCCCTGTGAGGAAGAGCTCTTGTTGCCTGTAAGCCATGGCTATGCCATAGGCCACTGTGGCTAGACTCTTGGTTCTGACATCTCCAGAGGCATTTCATGGAAGGGTAGGGACTCAGTGCCCACCCCTTCACCCCACTGCTCAGCTAGCTCTTTCTGGAACTAATCTGATAGAAAGTTCTGAGAACCCCTGGGGACACAGGGACTGGGTGGTCACTACTCTCACACTGTCTTTCCAGGCTCACAGCAGTTGGCAGAGGGCCACCACCCCACAGCCAACCTCGTCACCTGCCGGAGACTCTGGCAGCTTCAACTCAGATGTGTCTAATTAAGTTTTGGGAAACTGGTTGAGTGCCTTGGGTGAATGGACCTCTGCCCTGCCAATTACCTCAGAAGCCCTGGCTGTGGTGATGGCCGTTTCCTGGCTGCTCACCTACCTGCCTTGCCGTGATTTTTTTAAACAACAATTTGTTGGTTGACTGTGGATTGTTCATCTAGGGATTTGTTCTGAGCACCCCATTAAAGTTTTTGACTTGTCTGCATTCCAGTGGTTTCAATCCGGGCTTGTCGAGGTGACAGGTGACAGCCTGGATGCCATCACCAGCTCCAACAGCTCGTGGCTGCTGTGCCATGGCCCCTGCTCTGATTGGGAACTGGTTCAGTGCTTGCTTTAGCTAAAAGGTGCTGAGTTTCCCATCATGCCCTCTGCCGCCTGAAGCCTTGTCCCCTCTTGCCCCTCAGTGGCAACTAAGGGGGCCTGCTCTCAGGTCTTCATCTGGCCTGTCCCCCTGGAGCCACATACCAACCAGTGTCTCTGTGTCCTGACTCCACTGTCAGCCACCATCACAACAGTGGCCCAGTGCCCTTTCATCTACGTCCTGAGAGGACCCTGTGGCAGATGCTGCCTGCTGCCAGTACCTGCCCACAAGTATGTCCACATACTCTGCGGGTCCTGAGGACTGAGGAGTGGCTTTGGGCTGTCACCTGTAGTAACAGAGCACTCGCATTCACTGCAGCAGCTGTCCCCACTGTCAGCCTCTCCCCACCCCCTTCCGCGACCCCCGGCAGCCACTCATGTGGATTCACCTGCTGCAGAGTGTCACTGAGGGCCACACATTCCATGTGGCCTTCTGTATCCAGCTCCTGTCACTGGTATTTTTTAGGTTTTGCTGCATTATAGAATGGATCAGAGCCTCTTTTTAATTTTTTTTGGGGGGGTGGATGCCAAACAGGGTTTCTCTGTGTAGCCCTGGCTGTCCTGGAACTTGCTTTGTAGACCAGGCTAGACTCAAACTCAGAGATCCACTGGCCTCTGCCTCCCCAAGTGCTGGGATTAAAGGTGTGTGCACCACTGCCCACCTGACTGCAGCCAGTGTTCTTAACCACTGAGCCGTCCTTCTATTTCCCAGAGCCCCTCTCTTTTTCACAGCTGAGTAATATGTCGTTCTAGACAAACCCCCAGCTGAGGTGCAAGGAAGCTAAAGGCAGAGGTCACCACCAGCTTTCCCACCCTTTGGCTGCACAGCCTTGAATTGAGCACCTTCTCAGCCAGCTCTCAGGCTGCATGGAAAAAGCTTCAGATTCCGGAAGCTTCTCTGTGTGAGGGGAGGTACATGAATAGGTGGAGAACGGTGCTGCCCCAGAAAGCTGGCAAGGGCCGGCATCATCCTCGAGCTGCTGACAGGCCCCCACAGTCCCTGTGAACCCTGCTGGGGTCATAAGTTTTCTTAGCCTTTAAGTGGAGAACTGAGTGAGATGGAATTCCTCAGGAAAACTGGCTCAAGGAGGGAGAGCGAAGAAGAGCCATGCAAATTAGATGCAAATGTAACACAAATAAGGGGATCATGCAAACTAGATGCAAATGTAACACGAATAAGGGGATCATGCAATAGATGCAAACAGTATGGAAATATCTCAGAAGAGGGCCTAGGGAGAAGCCAGCTGCCCGACAAAATACTAAGTGCGTTCCCTGTGGGGACTAGCGCAGGGACCTGCAGCCACACAGGCCTCTAGCCTATAGACAAGGGCGACCTCTGGTGGATGGAGTCAGGACAGCAGCTGGCCTGTCACCTTCCTTCACCCAGCATGGTCAGGCCTCCCCAGAGGATCCCCTCAGGTGAAACCCCTGACCTGTGCTCCCAGCCTCAGTTCCTTGTGGGGGGTAATAAATAAGCAGGACTGGCTGAGGGGAGGGGTCAAAAGTTCAGGGGTTCCCACTTCTCTTCCTCCACCAAGTTTTTTGGCCTGTTTGGCAAATTTTTTACCTAAGGACTTACGCCTCCAGCCCTCAGTGGGGGAATTCTAGGCAGAGGCCTGAAGAGGCAAGGGCTTCTAACAATGGTTAGTCCTGCTGGGGAATCCGAGACAGCAAGAGTGAGTAGGAGAAGGCCTGTGTCTAACGAGAAGGCAGGTTTTACCCTCAGGAATTTCATGACCCTGAGCGGGCTTTTTGGAGCCCAGTGCCCATGGTGGGACACCTTACACAGCCTTGGTGCAGGGGGCGGGGCCTGGACCTGACTCAACTGAATGTACCAGGCTCTGCTGACTCCCCATGGGAGACCTTGCCTGGGAGGAGGTGGGAATGGGGGTTGGGCTGGGGGAGGAGGCTGGGAGGAAGGAGGGAGGAGAGGGGAATGTTTGTTTGATGTGTAAAATGAATAGAAATTTTCTTTTTTTTATGTTTTATAAAACCTTTATTGACAAATAATTCACATAGTATGCAATTTGCTTGTTTACACAATTTGATGGACTTTAGTCCAGCATCCTCATAGGCCCATGACACCATCTCCACTTTCTATTTTAGAACATCTCTGTCTTCAATTTCATACACACACATAATGTATGGTGATTACATTCCACCTTATTTTTTAAATAAACATATTTGCAATTGTAATCATTTTAAGTTCACAATTCAGTGGTATGAATTACATTCAAGATATTAATTACACTCATGACATTAATTACATTCATGATATTAATTACATTTGTGGTATTTATTGACTACATTTGGAGTATTCACTCGTTAAAATTTCTTAATGATTAAAAAAAAAAGAATTTCATGACCCATCATGGATGCATTCAAGCCCCACGCTGCCGTTGATGGACTGTGGGAGCTGTGGCAGAAGAAACCAGAGTCACCCAAAAGCAAAAGGGGCCATTGGAGACCTGGCAGGGCTCAGACTGCAGTTATGTCTTTAGTCACAAGGGGGAGCCGTCAACCTAAAAAAAAAAAAAAAAACAAAAAAACTAAATCCTGTCGCCAGACTCCACCAACAATCTAAAGACTGGAAGGAAACCCTCTGAGCCTCAGTTTACTTATATGTAGTGTGGGGAGGTCACAGGAACAGCCTTCTGGGAGAGGTCAGTGAGCGGAAGCCAGGAAAATGCTTTAGCATCCAACACACAGATGGATAACTGTGAAGCATGACTGTTGGGCCCAAAGGGGCTGAAGACCAGCAGAGCCCAGGTGTTGGGGGCGGGGGGGGGGCGCATGGAGATGGAACTGCCCTTCCTGACCCAAGGGCAGCATTTCAGCGCTTCCTGTGGGAAGAGGACTTGGGCTGCAAAGGGATGAGTTCCTCGGTAGCAGGGCGCCGCAGGCAGGGGGGCGGGGGTGGGCATGGGGTGCTCGGGCCTGTTATCCCAGGACACCCAGGTCGCCAGTATCGGGCCGGCTGCGACCGCCCCGCCCAGCAGCAGGTGGCCTGCCAGCGACATTCCTCAGTGCCCAGCGCCAGGCAGCCGCTCCTGCCGGATGAAACGAAGTTGGGCCTGGCCGCGTGGGCCTCGTGTTTTTCCAACAGCCTCTTCAGCCACAGGCTGACCACAACCTAGATTCCGTAGGGCTAGCCACTTCGTGTTTGTGTTCAGCCTGGCCAGACAGTAGCGGGGCCCGGCCGGGGCCTCCCAGAAGGTCTGGCTGCCCAGCCTGAGGCAGGCTCTCCTCCTACAAGAAGCCCTGGTTAAAGCTACTTAGCTGTTTTTTTCCTTTTCTAACAGCCTTTGTTTTGAGACAGGGTCTCTCTATGTAGTTCTGCCTGGCCTCGAACTCACTATAATAGCCGTGGATGACAGAATTCCTGATCCTTCTGCCTCCACCTCTCAAGTGCTGGAAGGACAGGCATGTGCCACTGTGCTGGGCTGAGCTTTTAAGCCTTAGTCAGTTTGGGTTGGGGTGGTGGCCACAGCTGAGGGTGTGTGCGATGGGCCCACTTTCTGTGAGACCCGTTTCTGTGTCCCAGCTGTCCCCGCCTCGGTCTCCCCAGCTGGGAATAGGAATCCATTAGGACATGGGCACACACCTTTCATCCCACACTGGTGATGTTGAAGCAGAAGACTCTCAAGTCCCAGGACAGCCTGAGCCACATGAAAGACCCTGTCCCAGTTGGTGTCAAGCAGGCAGTGAACAGCTTATGTTCAAGTGTTGGCAAGGTCTAACCCAGCTGAGTGCCGGCTTGAGCACTAAGCTCACGTCCACGTACCCAGGCAGTTCCTGATGAGCATGGCTTTGCCTCAAGCTCCAGACTTGAAGCTCCTGGGGGCAGAGGCTGGTCCTTGGACAAAGTCATGGATCAGAGTTCACCTACACCCTACTCCTGTGCCTGAAACCCTCACAAACTCAAGACCTCAGTCTTCCGAGTCTAGTCTGGAAAACCGCTTTCACCCTTGAAAGCCCACCTTGAAAACACTCTGTCCTCCAGACGCCGACCCTACGAAAAGGGATTTTTGTTCTGCCTTGACTTTCTGAGTGGGGTTCCCAGGGGTCATTATCTAAGCACAGCTCTACATAGCCATCTTGGGAGTAGGGTGTGCCCTGTGTGCATGCCTATGTATATCTGTGTTCCACACAGGCTCCTCACACTATAGTGTGAGTGGATAGTGTATAGTGGGCTAACCTATACACTTCATGAAACAGACTGGGATAGCCTGGTCCTCTGGGGGTTCATGTCTCCAGAAACCCTCAGGCAGGAAGAGGGAGTGGAATCTGTGGCCTCACCTCTGCCTGGCTGGTCCTCAGCCTGGCTCAGCCATGCTCCAGCACCGTCTGGGGCCAGGCAGCCTTTGAGGACATAGTTGAGGTTTGGCGCTGCTGCCTGGTCCAGGGCTGAGTCAGCACAGGGAGGGAGTCAGGTCTCTACTGCAAAAGCAGCTGGGATATTGGAGGCCTGGGGTTCCCTAGCCCACTCCATCCTTGGGCTTCAGAGGGTGGGTGTGCCCAGTGCACCCAGCTGTGGGCAGCTGGACTCTGTAGGACATAATAGGAGAGACTCTGAGGCCACTCGTCCCAGCATCCTAGGCTGAGGTGACTGGGGCACAGGCACAGGTGGATGTGGTGTGACCTGAGGGGCTCCTTGGAGGTAACAGTGCCCTGCCTGGTGCATCTGCAGATGCCCTAGGATGATAGACACTAGTTAGGTGTCCAGAGGTGCTGGGGGGTAAGGGAGGGAATATCTGACTGTAAGGGACAGAGATAGGGCGTGGCCAGGAAAGCCTGACCTCGGGCCTGATGACAGACAGAGGCATGTTGGCTCTGACACATTGGCTCTATGGCCTGGACAGTGGCCCTGGGTGAGGCCACGTCTGTCTCCCCATGTCTACGTCCAACAGCCAGGAGTCCCCTCTTCCCAGGCTGGTCCCCTCCTGATCACCTGCTAATGCCCCCATCTGGGGCCTGGGCTTGATCTCTGTTCCCACCCCAAGGCATCATCCCACCGTGGTGTTCCTACATCTCCCACTAACTGGAGCCAGTGCCTGCCAGGCCAGCTTCAGCCCTCAGGGTCTGAGACCAGGACAAACCCATCCCTGTGGTTAATGAGAGAGGCAGAGAGTGGGGAAGTGGTGGGCGGCCACGCCAGGCCTACAAGGTCCCTACAGAAGAGCCAGAGATGTTCCGCCAGGACTGAGCTGTGGAGAGGGGGTGCTGGGCCATGTGGGAAGAACAGACCCCCGTGCCACCAGAGAAGCATATACTAAAAGTGAAGTAGAGCTCATGGGGGATATGGGGGGGTGTCCTGATAAATTGTGTAACTTAGACTGGGCCAGCAAGATGGCTCAGCAGTTAAAGGTGCTTGACGCACAAGCCTGGGACCCATATGAAGGAGGAAAGAGAAAATCAACTCCACAAAGTTGTCCTCCGACCTCCATACTCTTGTGACATAAGCATGCCTGCCCACACATGTACAAAATGCACAGAGAGAAAGAAAGAATAAATTGACCTCTGGAGGTCTCTTGTTCTAGAAACTGCTTCCCTACCTCCAGACTGCACGTTGTGCCAGCCACCTGCCATGCCCTTCCTACCTCACCTCCCTGCCAAACCCTTACGCATCCTTCAAGACCCAGTTCCTAGCTGGGCATGGTAGCTCACACCTATTCTGCAGTGCTCCGGGTAGAAGCAGAAAGATCAGAAGTTCAAGGCTATCTTTGGCTGCATAGTGAATTTGAGGCCAGCCTGATCTACATGAGACCCTGTCTCTAAAAAACAAACAGAAATGGTCAGTTGCTATGTCCCCCAGGTTAGAGTGTCCACACTAGCTGAAGCTTTCTGCTATGAAAGAGGACCCAATCATTCTCCCTAAAAGCTAGTCTTGGGACCCCAATACACTCCGTATACATTAAGCTCCCTTAAAGCAAGTCTAGTCTCCAGGGTCACATCGGCAGCCTTCGGTGCACGTCTGTCTTGCCGTTCTTCCTCCTGGATTCTGCTGTTTTCAGACTTGTTTTAAGTATTTTACTGGTCCAAGATTTTTTTCTACATCACAGTGTGAGGAATTTTAAGAACCCCTGGTTCTAAAATTATAAAATCTAAAATGTCGGGGGCAGGACATTGGGCCTCCTGTGCCCCGAGCTGACCTCAGGGTGGCAGGACCCAGGGCTCTGAAGGGTCTTGGCCCTGATCCCTGCGCCGCCGCCCCCCCCGCCCCCCGCTAAGGGGCGCGTCCTGGCAGCCTTGCTGGGGGTGGAGGGGGTGATGGATTTTCCAGAAGCTGTGGCTGAGGTTCCAAGAGGGAGGCTGGGTCTGAGCACCGCGGTAGATGGAAGGCAGAGCAGCTGCCAGTACAGGCCAGCACCCCCTTCTCTTGGAGTCCCAGTCTCCTTGTGTGGAAATTGGGGGGATGCTGTCCTGTCAGTGAACAGGCAGAGAGGGGAAGAGGTCCACAACCCTCTTGGCCCAGCTAGAGAGAGGCTTCCACTGACCCCACCCCACACTAACAAAGAGACCAGGGCCAGGCCAGTCACCCCCTAAAACCCAGCTGGCAACTAAAGAAGCCCCAACACTTTCTCAACGAAAGGTATTTGGCAAGAGGGCCGGACACCTCATTAGGGGCCTGGACTGCAGCAGGCTCCCTTCCTGCTGCTGGGGAGCTGCAGCGGTGGGGGTTACCCTTGGGCTCCCCCAGGCCGCTCTGACCACAGCTCTGGGTTTTAGAGACAGCTCTAAGCTGCCTGTCTAGTTCCAGTGGAGTCCTGGGGCCACCTCAGAGGCCAGGGTCTGGATTTGCCAGCTTTTTACTGGCCCTTTGGAATCCACATCCCTCAGGGTACAGGAAGGTGTTCCTGCCATGGGTGAAAATGACCCCTGCCAGGAGGTGCTTGCCAC